TTCTTGTTGACGAAGCTCGGCGTGGACTTCAGTACTTCCGCGATCGCTACTGGCGGTGTGAGGTCAAAGACTCATCAGGTCACCGGCGATGCAAGAACTACTCGGAGGGCCACGAGAAGGGTCATCAGTTTGATCCTTCCCCCTATCCACAGCCTAGAACCTCGGACGTCTCAAACATCTCCGAAGACAACCTCGAAGTGGGCGTCTACCGTAGTTCTTATGACCCCGAGACCTACACGGAACAACTGTGGCAGCACATAGCCGGGGTCAGCCAAGAACAAGCAATGGAGAAGCTTGCCGCCGCTGCCACGGCGAGCGGCGTCATCAAGATCACCGGACAGCGGACCTGTCTGTCATGTTTATCCTCGACACCTACGAATGTTCTTCCTTGCGCTATCACTCAGCACGGAATCTGCGAGGACTGTGTCCGGAGATACAGCGGTTCCAAGAGACATCATTCCATAATCGAAATCAACAGGTGTCCCCTGGGCTGTCGGCTTTTAACTAGGCCATGGCAAATACGCGTCAAGCCAAGGACAGCGGGGGCTCGCATCCTAGTTCTCGACGGGTTCGTCATCATACTTCTAGATTTCGGGGTGCTATCATGCTAACTCTCCTTCCAGCGGCGGTATTCGTGGTATCGTGGAGCTTTTTATACTGAACGAGATCGAGAAGGCGATCGGCCTGCAGATTAGGATACAAGAGTTGTTTGACCTTGTAATAGGAACCAGCACCGGTAAGTGCAACTTCCGTAGTGAGGCGCTGTATACATTGAGGTCCATCATGATGTAACTGGCTGACCGCATGGAAGGGGGAATTGTTGCCCTGGGTGTCTTTGAGAAGCGATGGCAACTCAGTAATGCCGATCAAAAGTTTCAGTCGCTTGCTTGCAGAGCCTTCTCGCTTAGGAAAGCACTGAAGGTGCCTCTACTTTCAAAGTTTGCTGAGCCATTTCTCGAGCACAAGTAAGGCGACTATTGGGTAAAAGCATCCAGTTCTCAGCTGACAACGCCAAGGTACACGAGTAGCGGAATTAATGAAACATTGAGATCAGCCTTCGGCGAAGGCTACTTGTTTGGCCAGGCAAACGAGCTAGGCCAGGCTGGTGATCACGTTAAGGTTGGCGTTGTGTCGTGTCAGGAAGGCCGTCGACAGCCGTGTCTCATTGCGGTACGCAACTGCTCACTAAACCACCTATTCTGTTTTTGGAGCTTGGTGGCATATGGCTGACTGCTGTAGAATTATTCCCGAAATCCGATCCAACGGGGGAAGGATGGGAGGGATGGTTGTAAGTCCCGCCTCCGAAAACCCAATGATTACCCACTTGATTCTGACTGGTCCATAGATGACTGGCTACAACGAGAAGATCAACAGTCTAAGGACTTCCACACCTGGGAAGCGTAAGGACACGAGAATAGACTGTTTATGAATCAAGTGCTAACGCCCCTATAGCGCCCGAGCAACGTCAGCCGCACAAACAGTATGCACAGCAGGATTTCTGACTCCTACATCTCAGACACCCGTGCTAACTATAGAGCAGCTATTCAAGCCCTACTACCATCATGAAACCGCTCGAGCCTACGTCGACGGCGCCACGGTTCGAAACAACCCCGTACGATTAGCCTATGAGGAGCAAAAGCGAATTTGGCCTTCTACATCATCCATGTCCCCAGACATTATTGTGTCAGTCGGAACTGGCATCCACGTCGATAGAGAGGGCAAGGTACGCAACTCACGGAGCGAGCGCCTTGATAGTTTCAAGGGCATGCTACCTAGCGGTCTACGAAAGAAAGTTGAGACAGGTCTTGACATGGTCGAAGCTACTCTTGACTGTCACCGCGAGTGGGTCGACTTCAAAGAAGCGACGCATGGCCGGCTGCGTGAGAATTGCCATCGGTTGGATGTAGGGCTCATCACCAAGCCGCCGTCGCTCGACGCCGTCGACAAGATGCAGGATCTGTTCTGGGACTGCAGGAACTACCTATCGGGACCGCCGCCACCATATATGGACAGCAAGTATCAGACGCTGGCAGAACATATTAAGGCTGTGGCGAGGCGGCTGCTAGCCTCTGTTTTTTATCTGGAACATTTGCTGCCTGATAATATGAAGGGGGATCAGTATCTGAGTACCATTCATTGTCGGCTGGCGCCGAGGTCAGAGGGGGCTATTTCGTTGCTGGCGTTGAAGGTATGTACATGCAGCACCTGTGATATGTTGGCGGCATGATTTAGGGATCCCATGCTAATGTGCTGTCACTACTAGCCCGAATTTCGGCTCCGAGAGATTGACAGGAGCGACAGTGCGAGGATTAGCTCGATCGAGTTTGTTGACGGGGTGAATAACTTTAGCGAGAAGACACTGTCGGCACCTGTCCACATCAAGGTGTCGGACGGGGAGTTCAAGAGGATTATCGAGGTACAGTATAGGAGGCGGACGGGCCCATGGGAACCGATAGGGGGGTTTTAGATGTTTTTATCTTTTCTTTCAGAAACGGAACGGGCAATCACGATAAAGAAAAGTGTTCTAGAATACCTAATATATACGATTATCAGGGTGGGTTTCTAAAGTCTGCTATCATATCCCGGCACGTGATGAAACATGCTGGTGTTGGGGTTTACTAAGTCTTCGCCGCAACATAACTAGACTTTATTGTTCTGTATATAAATTAGGTCAAGGTGGTTCCGTGGGTGGGATGTAAGGACCCTTGCAGTAGGGCGCGACTGGCTCGCCGAGATTGCCCATTGGATCAGACGCCCCAGCGTAACGAATGCTACCCTGCTACTGCAACACATGCGGTGGGAAACCCGCCTGCGGCAACCCGGGAACAATATTGCACATGTAGTAGGTCTGGTCCGCTCCCCCATTCTAATCCTCTAATTATATGGTAGATCCCAGCTCGTTACCTGTTAGCTACATGGACCTACCTTTTGATGGGCATAGTTTGGGCTTACGTTACAGGTAGGTGCTGCCATAGCTTGATTTAGCCCCCATGCATTAATATGCTGTAGGCAATGTTGCCGAGTCGGATGAGGAAGGTATCTATCTTGGTACAGATAAGGCGTGTCCCGTCCCACAGTGGTACGTATTTGTAGAATCCGTATTTTATCTCTTGCGCATCTGCTGGGAGCAGACGGGCCTCAGCCATCACCTTGCGTCTATCTCTAATTGAAAGGCGAAGATGGTGCTCAGCTTTGTCTCCAGGCTTGTGTTCCCCGCATTAGCTGCCGCTGCCGTCACGGCGGAAGAGCCCAAGCCATGCGCCCAGGTGTTTGACTACGTAAGCTAATTAGCTCTTCCCATTTTCAAGATCCTGACTGATAGTTTGTCGGGGGTGTGCAGGAAATGGGCTGGCGACGCGGCTGAGCCAGGGACCCACCGCCCGGTTCGTGCGACTATCAACCGCGTCATTCCTGGCCACCAGGAGAGATGGATACCCACTGTGTCGCAGTCGTTCGGCATCCTAGAGAACACGGACTCGCTCTAGGGCAACGTTATCGGTGTCTCATACCAGCCCAGCAACATTGACGCGTCGAACTACACGAGATCCTACAGCGCCAACGCCTCTCTCCCCCTTGCGGGCCCCAATCTTCGGGTCCTCACCAGCACCCAAGTGGTCAAGATCAACTTCAAGAAGTCCGGCTCCAAACAGCAGACCACAGGCGTGACCCTCGTCAACGGCACCACCATCTACGCCCGCAGGGAAGTCATCCTCGCCGCGGGTGCCATCCAATCACCCAACCTGCTCGAGCTCTCGGGCATTGGCTAAGCCTCAGTCCCCGCCGCAGCCAATATCACCTAGCTGATCTCCCTCCCCGGCGTCGGTGAGAACTACCAATACCACCTGCGCATCCAGATCTCGTACCAGCCCAAGGACAACTTCACCTCGTTCGACGTCCTCCGGTCCAACTCCACCGCCGCCGCGGCCGAGCTTGCCAAGCGGCTCGCCGGCGAGGTTTCGTTGTACGACTACGCGTGCAGCGGTTATCTCTTCGAACTGGGCCCAGGTCCTCGGCAGCAACGCCTCGGCGCTGGAAGCCCTCGTTCACGCCACCGTGGGGACCTCCGCCGACGTCGGACATCGCGCCAAGCTTGCCCAGCTCGCCAATGCCCACGTGCCGCAGGCCGAGGTCATCTTTTCCGACGGGTATACTGGTGTCAAGGGGTACCCCCCAACGACGTCCCTGTTGTACGGGAAAGAGTTCTTCACTCTCATTGCCGGGCTGATGCACCCCCCGGCAGACCCATTGGGGAAGCCGGTGATTGACCCAAAGTATCTAGATAACGAGTATAACTTCCAGGCCATGGTAGAGCTCGTCAAGTTCTGTAGGAGAATAGCGCTGGCCGAGCCGCTGAGGGGCGTGTGGGTGGATGAATACGACCCGGGGCTGGAGAGGGTGAGTGAGTACTGAAGAGGAGTGGCGGCAGTTTGTGGCGAATACGACGCTGAGAATATTTCATCCCATGGGCACGGCTGCCATGCTGCCCAAGGCAGATGGGGGTGTTGTCGATTCAGAGCTGGTTGTGTGTGGGACTGAGAACTTGAGGGTGGTGGACGCCAGCATGATTCCGGTCCAGATTTCGGCGCATATTCAGACGGCTGTGTATGCCATTGGCGAAAAGGCGGCCGACATTATCATTGCGGCGCATGCTTGATGCTGGATATCAGGCTGTGGAAAATATCTCTAGGACGGCTGGGTTAAGTTGAAAAGAAAAGAAAAAAAGTATGAACCTATTCCGCGGTCTCGGCTTTGCCAATCCAAGGTGGTAGATAATCCAGCGAGCTGAAGACTGAGCCAGCATGTTGAATGTATCGCATAAACCAAACTAAGTCTTGCTGAGATAGCTGACTGCGCCGCCTCGTGAGTCAACACAGCCATTGGTAACCATCTCACCTCGAACCCCTGGATGAGTCACGGTGCTCACGCGGCACTCCGTCTCTTGCTTCAACCCAGCCATATGGCCAGAAGCAGCAAGTATCATTCCAATAAAAAAAAGGAGAAGCTGTGTAGCATAGTGGGAATGCGCCGGGCTCATAGATACTTGTCTCCGTTGATCCCGGAGATCGCTGGATCGAAACCAGCCACAGCTATGTTTTTGCCCTCCTCGGTGTTTTTGTTTCCCCTTGACCTTGCTCAGTGTGTAGGTATCTTACCTGGGGCAAGGACAGTTCCCAAACTCACCTGATTTGGGTTTGGGTTCTTTTGGGAATAACCACCGCCGGCGTCGGCTGACTTCGGTGGAACGCCTTGAGAAGGACGACTTGTCCCAACCCTAGGGTTGAATATGGGAGTCAAAATGAATGGTCTGGCCTTGTTTGAACAGTGGCAATTGGTCCTTGACGGCTCCCAAGCAGTGTTTTATCGTTGTGCTCCGTCTTATGCGTCTTAGCTCCAAGCATCTATGCCCCGAATCGTCTTGACGCATACATGGTGTTGTATGCACGTTCCATGTGGTTTTTTAGTCAAGGCGTGTGCTGCTCGACAGAGAGAGTGCCTATAGGTACTGAGCTGAGCTCGACAGCTAGAGGGTTAAATAACTGGCAAGGTAATTCGTGAGGCTCAAAAAAAAAAAAAAAAACACACTCGAAAAAGAAACACCAGGGAAGGCTGGTTCAAGGGCCCTGGTTCGTGCTCGAGATTGCGGGATCGATTACTAACGGCATTGGTGTTGGTGTTGGATAACGAAGAGCCACCGTCGCCCGGGGGCCAATCCCATAGGGGAAAATCGCGAGACTGCGGGGTCTCGGAGGGTCTTTCGGGTGGGGCGAAATTTGAGCGACAGGCCTGTCGTCCTCTGTGGTTGGCTCGCGTCGGGCATGGCTGGAATGGCTAAGACACTGATCTGCGTGAAGACGACACTAACCGGGCAACGACGGCGCCGAGACTGAGGAGAGGGACAAGGAGGAGCGCCTTTGGTGCGACTCTTTTTGCGGCGTGCCATGTTTCCCATAATAATAATAATATCTGCAAGCCTGGACGCTTGTTGATCGAGCGAGGCGAGACGCAGCAGGCTTCATACGTTATGGATCGCGCTTTGTCGACAGAGGACCTTGTGCGAACGACGTCAACCTCGACGATAACCGCGACGCGCCAACAAGAGGGGGAGAGGGGCGCTCGCATTGGAGATCGGCAAATTGGAGAGGAGGAGACGGAGACGACGATGAGTGTTGGAGGAAGGCGTTCTGGAACGGCTGCTTCTTCTTCTGCCCCTCATCGGTCTTGCGAAAACCCCTCATGCGCATCGGGTCCAAGCTCCGACACGATGCGTGAGACAGCGACAATGGAAGAACAGACCGAAGAACAGAGAGCGGGACACCAGCAGCCAGTAGGCGAAGCTGGGCCTCTGTCTCCCGACTCGACATACGCCCTCAAGTTCCCTCGCCTGGCAGACTCGTCGCTCGCCTCTGAGCAGAGCGAGCTGCCGGCAGACCAACGCGGCGCAGGGTCAGCGATAGTAGCAGCAGTAGCAGCAGTCGCGATATCGACACCTTCCAAAGAGAGTGAGCCTCGGTGGTTCACAAGTGCCTCGCCTGGACCCGCCCCGCCCGTCGATTCGGGACCCACAGCTCCTCCCGCTGCCATGCCAGGCGCTGAGAATTCTCCCTTACGGCCTGTTTGGTTCGCAACCCCATCCTCGCAGCCTGCACCCGCCGCCGACTCGCTCCTCGCCATCACGGTGTCGAGCCCCGGCAACCACCACAGTCTCGAGAGTCGCCCTTCCCACGACTCTGCGATTGGTGGCTCGTCGACCATGTTTTCCCTTGTCGCATTGGCCAAATTTGCCGCCTTCACGGTACGTCATCACTAACAACGTCGAGTCTTGGGGGGGTGCATCGCTCACCTGGCTTGTTTGCTCTAGGATGTCTTCCTCTCCGGTCTGGTAATTCCCTTGATCCCCTCCATCATTGAGAGCCGGCTCCGAGTTTCACATGAACAAGGTATGTCTGACCATCGCGCATTCTCAAAACAAAGCTACAAAGCTCTGACCCATGTTATAGTCCAAATATTGACTTCAGTGCTCGTATCCGCCCATGGAGGGGCGTTTGCAGCTGTGTCCCGTAAGCAATCTCTAGGTGCAATTACCATGTTGAATGTCTGCTAACGGAGAGAAACAGCCCTGATGCCCTTTCTGACGCGTCAGGGCGCGTCAGTTTGGCTCATCTTTGTGGGCGGGCTTGCATGCGCGGCACTTTCCTTTCTCATCCTCCAATTCCACTCTAATCTACCCGCCTTGGTCCTCTCGCGAGCCCTTCAAGGCCTCGCCGCTGCCGCAGCCACTGGAGCATGCTCTGGTCTCACGGTTACGGCTACCGGTCCTGCTGCCGAGACACACGCTCTGGCATGGGCTACCCCGGCCCTCCTCCAAAGTGCCGCCATGGCTGCCGCGCCCGCGGCGGCAGGATATCTGTACGGCTACGTCGGTGGGGAGACGACCGTCTTCTATTGTGCTTACACTGCAATCGCCCTCAACCTTGTCTTGGGCCTCCTTGCCGCTGTTTTTACTCCCAGAAGTCGAATTCAAGTTGGGGCCAAGACCATCGGGGAAACGGATGGGCTACTAGCGCCCCAACAGCCAGCCCAGATCTACGGCACCATCTCCTCGGATGCAGGTCTTTCACTCAGGGGCGGTGGTGGACTGAGCGCCTACACTTCGAGGACAGGCTCAAGAGCAAGCTCGAGGTCAAGGCGGGACAGCATCAGCTCTGATGTTTCAATAATCGGGGAAACAGGACCCGTGTTCGGCATACGTCTGTTCACTGCTCTTTATGGATACCTCATCATTGGGCTGCTCACCACTGCTCTATACAGCGTCATTCCCCAGTTTGTTGCCCAACACTTCAAGTGGACCGTTGCTGCCGGCGGATTTGCCCTGGTTCCCCTGTCAGCCCCGGCTGTCCTGGTTGGCCCTCTCGCCCGGGTACTGGCAGGTCGGGTGCCAAAGTCTGCTCGGTATTTGGTTGCCTTTGGGTTTCTCTTCTGCGTCGCAGTGCTCGTCCACTTGAGCTTGCTGACAAAGGATACCCAGACCGTTCAAACAGCTTTCCTCATAATGCTTGGGGCTATGTCACTGGGTGTTGGCCTATGTGCTGACCCCTTGATCAAAGAGATAACCCGCTTGACGGCTGGAGGAGACCAGCTTCAGGCTACAACTCTCCCGAACCTCGTCCATGCGTGGGGCGGCCTAATTGGACCTCTTCTTGCGGGTGGCATCAACTGGGTCTGGGGATGGCAAACAATGGCCAAGTCGCTGGGCGCCACCAGCGCCTTCGCAGCGCTCTTCACCCTCCTCTTCCTCCGGGGCTGGATCGGCCACGTGCAGCCCAACGACGAAAACACCAGATCCAGATCCGACGAGGAGTCAGCCCCCCTACTCGCCCGCTCCGGCCAAGACGGTGGCTCCTACCGCAGCAACCGCTCATACTATGGAAGCGAGCAACCCGCCGGTCTCGGTCTTGATAAAACCGCCTACTTCGATCGTAGTGTCGTCTTTGGTGCCGGGGTTGACGGTTCCGAAGAACTTGGCTCGAGCGTCCGCACCGAAGGCACCCACCAGCCCAGAAAACACCGCCGCCACTTCAGTATCGACAACTTCTCTATCGCCACCACGGCCGTAGACGGCCGGCTAAACCTCCAGGCCAGCCCCAACTCGGACCCAGACATGCCGCAAGTCCGCTTCCAAGCCGCCCTCGAGACAGCTCCCGCCCCGGGCAGCTCTTTCAAGACACAGCTCAGCAGCTTCGAACGCCGCTTTGTCATGCGCGAGGCGCCACACGCACCCGCGGCGGATCCGCGGCTGGCGGCCGGAAACCGATACGTCATTGACGAGGCGACCATCGCCGACAATTCGAGTGCTACCAGCAGTAGCACGGTGACGAAGAAGCGGCACGTCGTTGTTTTCGAGGAGGGAACCGTCCCGGAGGGTTTGCTGGAGCGACGTCAGCATCATGTTGTGGCGATCAACAGCCTCGACGGGTCGGTCAAGCTGGCACCCATAGCGGCGAGCAAGGAGGAGCATGCCGTGAGTGTCACCGAGGAGGAGGCTGGCGAGATGCCCGAGGGCTCGAGGCGGTATGTGGTTGTGATGCTGGAGGAGGGCGACGAAGGGGCGGAGGAGTCTTCATAAGGGATTCATAGGGTTGATCGGCAGGCTGAACGAACAAGTGGAATATGATCTTGAAAAGGATGGATGTTAATACCCAGGGATGTAGAAATGACATGATGGGGATGAGGTTGAGGGTGGGAAAAGGTGGAAAGGTGGAAAGGTGGACATTTGTGGATTGTGTTGGGTTGATATATATTGTATGGAACTTGAACGGAAGATACCAGGTTGTCGAGAGTCACTCGGATACCTTGAAATTGAAATCATTGGTAGTTGTGACCCAGTATCCTAATTAGTTCTTATCACTGTGCCATATGATGTCTTTTCCGAGTCATGGCTGTCAAAGCGGAGGGTACCAGCAGCAGCCGAAGCCTCGATCACTGCCACCATATATATAAATTTATATACCAGTGCCAAATTACTCTCCCTCCCTATTTCTTTCTCGGCCCCTTCCTCGTCTTCTTCTCGATCGCCGGCCCTTTGAAGCTATTAACGATTCGGCATCTTTGGCCGGGGGCCCAAAGTCCGGCAAGGGGAAACCACTACAGTAAAAGTCAGTCGCCACACACACCCCCTTTTCGAAGGATACAGGATAGATATCGGAAAGACTCTGGTGCTCGCCGTGCCGGTGGCGAGCGGACTGGAGGTGTCGTGGCATGATCGCGGTTTGCCTCCGACATGGCTGCTGCGTCTGAAGCTGGTCCCCGGGAACCACCATCCACAGGCCCGGCCACGAACCGGCGTATTTCTTGACTGAGTGTGGCCCGGGACTCTCGCAGCTCTCGTGCAACGGACAAGATATCTATCTGCCACTGCTCGCTCGGCTCCGGCAAGAGCCTGGGCTTGTCGATGGCAGTGGCCGCGCCATCGAGAGACGGATGTGCTCGAGAGAACGTCACGATGCTGAGCAGCGAATACGAGCCCGCTTTGTTGCTTTGCGGCATCTGCTCACTACCTTGGACTGAAACTTTCGAGCGTGTGCCGGGCCCG